TGATGGTGGTGGTCAGCAGGCCTTCGATGCCAATCCGATGTCGTACCGAGAAGTGCTTTTTATTTTTCAATAGATGGNTTGACTGCACTCGTCTCACTCGCTCCACTGACGGGCGCCTCATTGCCATTGACGCTCTAATTTGAATGATTAGTGCTAGGAGTAGTAGGGAGACTGATACTTGTACTGCCACTTGTTGTTGTTGTTGGCGACTAAACATGTGCTTAGGATCACTCAGCTGACATGATGAGCACAGGTAGCGCCTTCTTCATTTGCCTAATGATGGTGGTGGTCAGCAGGCCTTCGATGCCAATCCGATGTCGTACCGAGAAGTGCTTTTTATTTTTCAATAGATGGACAGCTCGCATCTTATGTTTTTGCAGTTGCCGCTGTAGTAGCAGCTAAAATCTTTGCAATTCAAAGTATACTATACGCCGATTCTATCGCCGATTTATCTTAGTTTCCAACATTGTGTTGTGAAAGCACTTGTGGACAATCGGCCATTGTTGGCCACCGATCGATGGCCTTGTGCACTTTATTTCACTTTCACTATCTCATTTTCCTTTTGTTGACCGATTCAACCAACTAAATTCTAATGAGCTCTTCACACTATAGCATTGCAACATTATCGTTTTTCAAACGATTCCGATTCATTGAGTAGCATCTACTGCTATCGATGCTGCCTCAAACTACCATTGAAAGGCGTTTCCTGATTGAGCTAAAACTGAATTAATTTGCCAAATAAAAGTAGTGGAAACACGTGAACACTACTGGCCAGTCGATTGTCTACTACTTGCAAGTCTAAAGAATGTTAATTGATTACATTTTCGCATGTCTACAGCTTGCACAGTCAGTCCTACACAACGACTACAAATTAGCAGTGGTTACCCACAAAAACTGCGTCTAGGTGATTAATTGAAGGCGCCTTTGTGCCACCTGTGAGCAGTCGCCCATCGTTGGCGCAATAGCTCTGACTGCTGTTCCAAATCGATTACAAATGGGACCGCTTGCTCGTTCACTTGCCACTCATTGTGAACACCTTAAAAGAGCTAGTAATAAATCAATAGCTTTAGCAATTCCTACTGACAGATTCGAGCACACTACAAAGTTAGTACAGGCAAACAGTCGTTAGAAAACCACCTTACTTTATAGCAACCATCTGCAACCACAATTTTAACTTACAATGGATTTACTAGAAAGAAAACTTTCCATTTTTACACTTTTGTGCCAAGTCGTTGAAAGTGCTTGCATGTATTTGCTTCATTTACAAAGTCCATTTTCCATTTTTTTCATTTACAACAACAAACAAACGATATTCTTTGAAGGCTGTTTGCTGACCACTGCTGTTGCTGCTGCAGCTCTCAGCTGCATTGTCTTCGCACCTCACAAGTAGATCAATCCACATTGGGCGCCACAGAGTGAGAGTGAGAAAGAAAGAGTGGTCACTGGCCAATTAGCCTACCACTTGTGTCAGCTGCTCTTTACTGAAACGGCAATCGAAACACGAATCGATTCAATGTTGAATGGCCTTCATCACCAGCGGCAGTGCACATCGCTGCACATACACACACAAGCAATTCACATTGACATTTACCGTCAAAACAGCACTTCTCCACTCAGCTGCAATGTGCAGAAAAATTATTGCACATCTACAGGTGAAGTGCATTTTGGAGATGCCATTTTCTAAATATAGATCTGTCGCGTAGTAAAAGTACCACTTGGCCTTTTGGATAGATCACCTCACTTTAATGCGAGAAATAGAATTGAATGACAGTAATTTATGAGCAATTGAATGGCCATTGCCATTAGAAATTCAAAGCACTTCAGATGGTAGTCCTCCGGTGCACAGATTTTTCAACAAAGAAAAATGCACAGCAACGCCATACACTTCCTCACCTTTGCCTGTCACATTTGTTTTGCCTGTCATGTCCACACGCACAGTGTGAAAAGTTATAAAATTTAAAATTACTTTAAACAAATAAGGCGCCCATTTGCTCAAAAACGTATATGCCTGTAAAGGAAAGTGGCAGAGAGTTACTGCAAAAAAATGATAAAGCGAAACTGTGCCGATTTCTCTAGCATTTCCACCCTGTCATCGGGTCACTGCTCATGTCAATTACTGGGTGATTTTTTCACAGTCAATTAGTCATTGACTGTTTGTTTGTGAGCGTCGATGAAAAAGATAAAAAGAGTGCCAATGCTTGATCACTGTTCGGGTAAAGTGCCGACTGACTGAAAGTGCACCACTGGTCAGTGGCAATGTTAAGGGCAATGGTGCTATTGCACTCGTGGCGGGTATCATGTCTGAAAATGGATCTCAAGTAGATTTTTTTCGCTCTAGCCGCTGCTGTAGCTCACTAAATGGCATTGTATGCAAATCGACCTGGCTAAGGCGTTTTCACTGTGCTCCGCAAAAGGTAGACTTCTTTGGTAGTCGAAGTAGCAGCAACATCAGAAAGTATTGCTGTTGTTTTGTTCTGTAGCATCGTAGCACGTTCAATCAAAGTTGCACCGTTGTAATATTGACAACATCAAACGCTGTTTACAAGCTGCTCAGGCTGCATATTCAATGTCACTTTGGTCATTTACTGCTTTAGCGGTCAGTTTGTTAAGAAAGAGTTGAACAGTGTTTTTTTCTAGAAAAACCAAACCAAAAGAATAAGGGAGCGATCAAAAGCTTGGTAAACTGAAACCAAAATGCTTCAACAAGCAAATGCCTAGTGCCAAGCAACGATTGGCCCACTGAAGCAATCTCTATCATTTTGAGCACTATGCCACTGAATGTCTCAATTGTCTCTCCATCTTTCTCAAAGCGATTGTGTCAGGAACAGAAAGTACTACAACCGCAAACACCACCACAACTGCTGGTTAATTTGCACTTTCTGCTATGACCTATTTGAGCATCAGTGAGCGGTGCAGCATCAGCAGCAGCAGCACTGCCAGTGATCACTGCATTTTAATTATTTTCCAATTAATCATCTCTGCTTTCTTTCTCTTTCATTTGTTTGTTGCACAACAATGAGTCAGTGCACTGTTTATTGCTCGATGTAATAATAGCTGAAGAAGAGCTTCACTAGCTTCACTGCTGATCGGCTCCAAATTTTCAAGGGGAAGCTCGCACACACAGCGGCGACGGCGGCACAAGTCAGTCAATCGATCGGCAGAGGCTCACGCCGTTGACGCCATTGTAGATTGTGAAAGTCCAGTCCTCCCTTTTGTCGTCGTACAATTCGTCTGCCCGTGTGGTCATCCCCATCATCTTCACAGTGGTAATTGAATCGCCGTGCCATTGTGTGCATCGCCTAGCACCTTCTCTCCACAGGCACATCTTCTTTCATTTCCACATCTCTTCTCCTGTTTACATCCCGTGGTAATTAATAATTAATACTCAGCACACATGGCTATCGATAGCACACACACACACAAACACAAACGCCGTAGAATGAAGCAACACTCCCCACTGTCGTTTTCCTGCAAGCAATTTGCTCTAATTATATCGACACTGATGATATCGTTCCTTTGCACGGCGGTGTGCTGTTTTCTCTAGATAGAAAAAGAAACATTTTTGTCGGCAGAATTGTCCGTTCTTTGAACTGCCAAAAGACGGCTCAAAGTTGGCGGCAGTAGCATCAGAAGCAGCAGCAACAGCATCAGCGGCGCCTGCGTAGCCGTTACGTAAGCGAGGTAACAGTTAATGGTGTAATAAAATAATTGAGTTATATATACGTTCACTTGCTAATTGGAATCGCACATTGAGCTGTCCAGTGTAGGCTTGTTGCGCTTTATGTAATAGACGATTAATTGTTGTTGTATAAGGCATTACCATAACTGCACTAGTGCACAGTCCTCGAGGAAGGTCTGCCGGCCGCCAACGTGCTCTATGTGGTGCGCTCACCAAGAGCAGTCCCCTTTGTGGCCAGACAGAGGCAGCAGTCCACCTGTCTGCCGTCTGATACTGATCACTCAGCAATCTCGAGCATGAGAGCAGCGGCGGCGGCCCAAACTCTAAAGTCAATGTGCGATCAATGCGATCGATAGTGCAGCGGCAACAGTCAGAATGAATGTGATGTATAAATATATTTGCACAATGCACCTGAAGAAGAGGGAAACAATGGCAAGTGGGACGCCATCGCCGTCATCGCCATCGTCGTCCCGTGAATGCCATCGCCGTCGAATGGTGAGTGAGTGAGTGAGTGAGTGAGTGTTTGTGTGCTCGGTAACCTTTCACTGACTGGACTGGACTGGCCACCGCCGCCATTATGTAACGCAATTAAGCGACGAACATATAGGTATTATATTCTCAGACAGAGACAGAGAAAGAGAGGGGAAATCGAATTATGGCAGCAGTGGGGAATGCGAGCAGTTCGCCCAAAAGACGACAGTCAGAGAAGGAGGATATCGAGTAACTGTGGCCAAGGATGGCCAGTAGATGCACTGTCTGTACGGCAGCAGTTGTCATCGCGGGAAGTGAAAGGGATGTGGCAGTGCGGGCGAGAGAGAGAGAGAGAGAGAGAGAGAGCTGAGCGGAGAGACACTCGTCGGTCATCAGCGATGGTGGCCACCACCAGTGCCACACCAAGCACGTTCTCTCTTCCTCCCTCCCTTTCTCACTTCAGACTGGCGTTATGTAATGGCAATCAGTCAGTCTCTATCTGAAGCACAAACACTGCATCAAACAAGAAAACAGTGCACAGAAGCAGTGTTCGGCAAGGTCCCCCATTGCATCGCCATTAAGGTGCACCGTATCGTCTGATTCCATTACTAGCGGCAGCAGCATGTAAAGCAGGTAATCCGCTTCGTTCCGTCCATGCGTCCGATTCGAGTCATTCAAAAGGCAAGTCATTGTGAAATGCAATCATACTGCTATGCCATCAGTTTACATTTTCTATGACTGCTAATTCTAGTGATGGCTAAACAAAGCATCGCTGTAGAATGCACGCCTGCAGATGTATTGCGAAATGGCATCCAGCAAATAGACAATAGTGAGCTGATGCTAATCGGAATTATTTAGCCAATAGGATGGCGTTAATAGCGTCGCTGAAGGTGGCCGCAGTCAGACTCGGAGCTGGTGATATTTTGCCTTCATCACCGGAACGATATTTGCCGGTGCGAACGAGAATGGCCTGCATGCCGGTGGCCATTGCTCCAGCAACGTCGTCGCGGACATCCTGCCAAAAAGAAAAAGAAAACGCATCAATTAGCTTGGTGAGTGGCTACAACAAGAGAAGATCTTGACATCGTACATCGCCAATCATGACTGCCTCTTCAGGCAGCAAAGACGGGTCAAGTGCTTTGAGGGCACTCAGAAAGAAATCACGAGATGGCTTGCCAACAACGACCACACTTTCAGGCTTTATGTCAGCAGCATAGGCCAGCGCCTTTACAAACGGACCAGGACCCAGTGACAGGCCTTTTTGTGTTTGAAAGTAGCGGCCTTGATGAATTGCCACAAGCCTCGCGCCGGAGAGAAGCTTAGCAAAAGCAACATTCATTGCGTCGTAATTAAAGTGCGATGGAGCAAGTCCGACAACAACGGCTTCGCCTGTTGAGATGAAATGTGGTATAGTGTAGCGTTTCAGCAAGTGGACAACAATGCACTGCGATCATTACCTTTGCTGTCATTGGAAGTCGTCGTCAAGACATCCTGAAAGTCTTCAAGTGCAGCATCCTCCAACATCAAATGTGGCCTTACTTGTTCCCTTTTGATGAAATCAACAGCAGCTAGCAATGATGTGAAAATTTTCTCCTTTTCAATGTCAAAGCCCAGCTTGGTTAGTCGTGAGTGAAGCACATTTTGGCTTTCCTTTGTCGTATTTGTCACAAAGAGATACTTTAAGTTTGAACTCTTTAATCTGAAACAAACGATGCTAATATTAGCGGCAATGTCTTGGCTCATAACTAAAGAACATTACCTCTTCAATGCTTCAATTGAGCCCGGTACTTCGCTTGACTCAATGTGCAAAGTCCCGCTAAGGTCAATTAAAACGGATTTTATTCTAGAGAACATTCTGCATTACTTTCATCACAGGTATTGGCGACTAGAAAATGTGATTTGGCAAATCAAGTTTTTGTTTATTTAAAATATACGTACTCTACGAGGGTAGTCAGCGCGCGAGCTCAGAAAACTTTTGCCATTGTGTGCCGTGCTTACCCCGAAGAGCAGTTAACAAAGTACAGCTTACCTTAGCAAAGTAAAGGGAGGCACGTTCCCGAAACGACGGCAAAACTTGGCGCCAAAAGCACAAAAGCAAATTGAGCGCCACTGGGGAACAAGCGCTCAACAGCTTGCCTTCTGCTGCAGGAGAGTGCTGCCTGACTTTGCCGACTCTTTAACAATCCCTTTAATTCGGGAACGATAAACACGATATCCATCCTGATCACCTCGCCATCAACTTCACCATGTTTGTTCGCGACTATGAAAAGGACAAGGAGGCCTTGCGAAAGATCATCCTCGGGCCCAGCTACACCGACAAGCTGATTAAAATTGCTCAGCGTGAGGAGGTGCTCTTTAAAATCGACCTGAACGAAGTGGAGAAGGAAGACAGTGAACTCTGCGATGCCATCATCAACAACACCAAACGGTACGTCAAGATCTGCTGCGCCATCGTCGACGAAATTCTGCCTGACTTTCGCACCGGTCCGGTGCAGAACAAGGACACCTTTGATGTTTTCATTGAGCATCGCCTGCATGCTGAACAGCGACGCCGTCAGGAGACCGGCAATGGCATGCCGATCAACGAGGCCAACTTTGTCTCCAAGTATCCGCCTGAGTTGATGCGTCGATACGAGTTGGTCTTTGAGCCACTGGCAATTCAGAAGCCGATTCCTGTCCGTCAGGTAAAGGCCAAACACGTGGGAAAGTTCGTCACCGTCTCTGGAATTGTTACTCGAACGCAGGAGGTGAAGCCTCGTGTTGTAGTGGCCACCTACACCTGTGATTCGTGCGCTGCTGAGACTTACCAGCCGATTGAGTCGGACAGCTTCATGCCACTTGAACGTTGTCAGAGTGAAGAGTGCAAAGCGAATCGCGTCACCGGGCGGCTGTATCAGCAGATTCGAGGCTCCAAGTTTGTCAAGTTTCAAAAGCTGCGAATTCAAGAGCACAGCCGCGATGTTCCCGTTGGCAACATTCCCCGGAGCCTCGATGTGAACTGTCGCGGCGAGCTGACCCGTCAGGCCCTTCCGGGTGATCACGTTCACATTTCAGGCATCTTCCTCCCCACTCCCCACCACTCTGGCCCACGTCAGATGATGGGCGGACTGCTCTGCGACACCTACCTGGAAGCCCATCGTATTGTCATCACCAACAAGTCTGACGAGCTGGAGGAGGACGAGATGACTGACGAGGAGTTTGTGGAGTACATTCAACGCGAGAACATCAGCATCGATCGTTTAGCGAACAGTATTGCGCCCGAAATTTACGGGCACATTGACTTGAAGAAGGCGCTCTTGCTTTTGCTCGTTGGCGGCGTTGACCGCAACACCAATGGCATGAAGATCCGCGGTGCTATCAACATTTGCCTGATGGGCGATCCGGGAGTTGCCAAGTCGCAGCTGCTTGGTTTTATCGGTATTTATTTATTGAATTTGGTCATTTCACAAATCTAACTTTCATTTTTCACCTTTTCGCGTAGACCGCATTGCACCTCGAAGTCAGTACACAACTGGTCGAGGCTCGTCGGGTGTTGGTTTGACTGCCGCCGTCCTGAAGGATCCCATCACTGGGGAGTTTGTTCTTGAAGGTGGAGCACTGGTGCTCGCCGATCAGGGCATCTGCTGCATTGACGAGTTTGACAAGATGTTCGAAGGCGATCGAACTGCTATTCACGAGGTCATGGAGCAGCAGACCATTTCCATTGCCAAGGCTGGCATCATGACAACGCTAAACGCTCGGGTCTCCATTCTCGCAGCCGCTAACCCTGTCTACGGCCGCTACAATCCCAAGAAATCTATTGAGCAAAACATTCAACTTCCTGCGGCTCTGTTGTCTCGTTTCGATCTTTTGTGGTTGATCACCGACCAGCCGAATCGTGATAACGACCTAAAGTTGGCTCAGCACATCACCTATGTCCATCAGAACTGCTGCGAGCCACCGCTGGAATTTGAGCCATTGTCCATTAAGACTATTCGCCGATTCATAAAGATGGCTAAGAAGTTTAATCCAGTGGTTCCTGATCACCTCACCGAGGACATGGTGGCAGCGTACATCAACATGCGAAACGATGCTCGTAATAACAAGAACACAACCTTCACTTCGGCTCGTACTCTGCTCGGCATTCTCCGTATGGCCACTGCTTTGGTAAGTTGGTAACTCATGTGTTTCTGTCATTGTTCTCACCATTGTTCTCTTACACAGGCCAGACTTCGCCTCGCCAACGTCGTAGAGCGTGGCGATGTTAACGAAGCCATTCGGCTGATTGAAGTCTCCAAGTCGTCCATCAGCACTGACAAAGGAACTCAACATGCTGTCTCTAACAATGAAAAGATTTACCAGGTTATTTTTGGCATTAGTAAGAGTACCAAGAACCGAGAGGTGGACATGGTGTATGCAGTTGACCAGTGTCTCCTTCGCGGCTACACCAACGATGAAATTGAAGAAGCCATTGAAGAGTTTGAAATGAACAACATGTGGCACGTCAACTCGGCTCGCACCAAAATTATTATTGTCTAATACTTTTTCCCTGCTTTCCATTGATTTCCACTGATTTTCCCATTTTATAAATCACTCATTTTATGAACCTCATTTTAAACAACACATCTTTTAAGAAACAATCACTTTAACAATCTTATCTTACTCACCTTAATTTTATTGAAATGGAGCATGATTTTTTACTGAATTTTCTGATTTGAATAAAGAAAAGTTGGCTTATAAATTGTCCATTCACAGAGAGCGTTACCTTCTGCGCATGAGTAAGGCTGACGTTTATCATTTTTACAAGTCATTCGCTGAAAGCGGAGAAGTGTGTTGTCTGTGTTTTCATTGCATCGTAATCTCTCTTGACAGAACCTAAAACCGGCGTTCTTTGCATCTTCGTACACCTTCAAACCCGATCCAGAATGACTGCCAAACCCAAGTTTGCGTACAATGACGGCTTCAAGCAGCACAGTGGCCAGCCCATCTGCACCGGTACCTCTGTCATCGGAGTGGCCTTTGACAAAGGTGTCATCATTGCGGCTGATATGCTAGCTAGCTACGGATCCATGGCCCGCTTTCGAAACATTCAGCGAGTGGCCCGAGTCAACGACAAGACGATCATCGGCTGCGGCGGCGACTACGCCGACTACCAGTTTCTGATGAAGTACATTGAACAGCGAGTAATTGAAGAGGCTGCCTACGAGGACAGCCACCAGATGAGCCCGAGTGCTCTTCACACTTGGATCACCCGCATCCAGTACAACAAGCGTTCCAAGTTTGATCCACTCTGGTGCAACTGGGTCGTTGGTGGTCTGAACAACGACAGTAAGTTCTCACAAATGTGATATATTCTCCTCTAAACTCGGTATTTCACTTTACAGACAAACCTTTCCTTGGCTTTGTTGACAAGCTCGGCACGGCTTTTTCTAGCCCAATCATCGCTACCGGCTTCGGTGCTCATTTGGCGACTCCTATGCTTCGTGAGGCAACTGATGCTAAGAATGGAGTCAAGTTTACGGAGGCTGAGGCTGTCAAGCTGGTTCAAAAGTGCCTCGAAGTTCTGTTCTACCGTGATGCTCGCTCGTGGAACCGTTACCAAATTGCCATCGTTGATGACAAGGGCTCTCGCATTGAAGGCCCATTCAAGATTGAGTCTAACTGGAAGTTTGCCGATATGATTCAAGGCTACGAGTAATTTCTAACTTATACCCAATTATTATATTGCTTGGGATATTACACTGTCTCTTCTCAATTATCTTTCCCAATAACATTAATTTGAGTGGAAGTTTACTTTATTGATGTATTAATTTTATTGGTGGCAATGAAAAGTTGATGTTTACAAGAAAGAAATTAGCTTATAGCTCGGTAAAGTCAAACACCGAGAGAATGATGGATCACCATCAGTTTCTTCGAGGGAAAGCTTTGAGAATGTCCATCTCCGCGTCGCTGTAGTTGCCCGGATAGGTCCTCAAAATGCTGGCCAGGGTGTCGTTCAGACTGTGAACGGTACTGTGCGGCTTGTACAGGTGGTGGTCCAGGTAGGAGAGGTTGCTGTAGATGGCTCCCTCGGGGTTGTACAGTCGCGTCAGATTGCTGAAAATGGTAGTCATATGACGGTCGATGCAGTCGGTGTCGTTGAGGGGAGTGCCGCAGGCCGCAGTCAGGTCAGCCTCCCAGAAGGAGTCATTCTGGGCAAGGATGGGAGAGGTGCACCAGGAGAGGGCGGCCAGCGAGACCAGCAGGAGGTGGAGGGAGNCCAGGTAGGAGAGGTTGCTGTAGATGGCTCCCTCGGGGTTGTACAGTCGCGTCAGATTGCTGAAAATGGTAGTCATATGACGGTCGATGCAGTCGGTGTCGTTGAGGGGAGTGCCGCAGGCCGCAGTCAGGTCAGCCTCCCAGAAGGAGTCATTCTGGGCAAGGATGGGAGAGGTGCACCAGGAGAGGGCGGCCAGCGAGACCAGCAGGAGGTGGAGGGAGGGAGACATGGTGGTGTTGGTGATGACGATTGTGAAGTGTGCAAGGCGAGGAACAACCTAGAAGAAACCCACTCGGGGCGACACTTGACTTTTTATAGCCAACCACCGTTTAGTGGCGCTTCTTGTGTTTGTTCATGTCGCTTTCATTTGCTGTCATCTCAAGTTGACAGTGTCTCACAATGTCACTGTTTCACCGATGAGGCATCGGTGACAGTGAACTTTGGTAATCATCGCCACCACCACCACCCGTCTCTAAGCGACTATAAAGGGCACAGTGCAGAATCAGTCAGGCCAACAGTGCTTCAGTGATTGTCCACCCGTTCTCTCCCTGTGCCATTTTCAAGCTTTTTGCTTTTGCAAGCTGTTCAGTTGATCGCTTCATCTTTGTCTCTCCTTCTATTCGCGCTCAATCCTCCCTCCATCATACATCGCAATGCAAAAGTTCACCAGCAAGCTCCAACTGGCCATTGCCGTCTTTTGCCTGATCACCTCAATCAACCCACTTGTTATTCCCGATAGTGAAGACAGAGGCGATGGCTTTGAGGGAACAACGATGTGCCAAACCGACGACCCCACTTTGCCGATGAACACCATTCAGTGCAAGAAGATGATTGATGAAACCTCCACTGCGTACACCGGCACCAACTACACAACTACTGAGGCCACCACCACTCCCTTGCCCAGTAGCACAGTGAAAGCCACAAACAGTCTTCCTTCTTTTCCTGTGACTGTCTCCACGACCACCACCACTGCTCCCAACATCAGCTCTGGTAAATCACCACGTGAAGTGCGGCAATCTAACTCGACTGCCTCTGCAAACTCTACTAACTTGATGGCATCAACAACTAGTCCGGCAATCAGCTCCAGCACTACCAGCACTACTAACCCCACCACAACCACCACAACCACCACCATCAGCAGCACTACGATCAGCCCAGTGACCAGCACAAGCACCGGTGCATCAAATGGAACCACCACCAAAGCGAGCTTTGTCCTCGCCGCTGATCGCCTTTCCACCACCACTACCACCACCAAGTCACCTACAGTAATACCTTCGAGCACTACTGCTGTTTCTAATGAAATCAGCAGCACTAGCACCAGCAACTCCAGCGACACTACTCCCACTGGTGGCTCCAGTTCAGGCTCA